TCTGGCACAGCGGTCTTAAGAAAGGCCAACCCCTCTATTGCCCCTTGTGCCATGACTTGTCATCGATCGGACAGTGCAACCAGCAATTGATGCTACTTGTGCTCATTCTGCAGCATTGCACTCTCTCCGAGTCTTCTTGACATGGGATCCTCACCACAAGCCATTTACTGACTCGCTGGTTTAGCTTCATAGTTCGAGACAGCCTCCGTCGGATCACCCGCTGGTCGACACAAATCTGCTGTGACGTCCAATCGCCCGTTCTCACTTTCTGTATGGAACCCCTTTGAGAACAACGCTCACCCAACTTTTCTCCTCTACAACTTTTGGCCCCATAATCGAGGTGGTCACGACGTCCATGCACAATACCATTTGATACCAAAGCACCGACAACACCATGAATCGGTTCCGCACGAAGAAGAAGACGAAGGAAGAGGCACCGCCTCGCGTCTCACACGACTCAGACTCGTCTGCGCCCTTCAGACTTTTCGGCAAGAATAAGAAGACAACAGAAGAGGAACCCAAGAAAGAGATCGACCTCGCTACGGCACTCCCTTCGAGTGATGACTTCCGAACCAGTCTGCTGATGACAGGCTTGTCAGCACGTTTTTCCATGTTAAAGGAGCAAGATGATCCAACCTCCAAGATTGGAAAGGCTAGCGACGATAGCGTGTTGTTTCCCAAACGGCAATCCAGAATGCTGGACTTCGGTTTCGGCCCGGGCTTGGGTGATATTGCAGAGGTTGAGTCCATTAGGGGCAAGGCACCGTTTGCTCGCATGGACTCTTTCCACTCATCTGAAGGCTCGACGTCTGGCAGCATCATGGATCGGGCTAAACCCGTTGACGGCAACAACCTATTTGGCGGACGTCAGAAGATCTACAAGCTCCCCAGTGGTGGAGCGTCTACGAAAAACCTCGATGGCGGCATGTCGGGCCGAGCACTTTACGGTGACGATGTGGCCATGTCATCCTTCCAACGCTGGAGACAAAGCGAGAAGGATAGGCAACCGTCAGCAGATGAGCGCCAGGACCAAGTCAACCTCAGCATCGATATCCCTCGAGCCGAGTCTCCGCCTGCGGCAGACGTCCACCGCAAACGTGAGACCAACTCTAGCATGTCCTCTGCTCCTTCAGTCGGCCGTAACTCGACAGCCGCCACGTCCGTCACTTCCCAGCCCAACGCCATGTCCAAAGACTGGCAGTCAACGGGGGCGTCCAGCCACTCATCAGCTGCCACGCCTGCATTAGAGCGAAGCGTAACGAGGACGCGGCGTCTTTACGAGACAGGGTTGCTGAACGATCTCCACGAACAACAAAACTCCGCTCTATCGAGAATGGACACTCTCTCCCGCCAAAGGAACTTGGGTTCTCGCACACCCGACATGTCAAACGCCCCTTCGCCTACGACTGGACTATTCACAGATCGTTTTGGCGACCGCAAGCTTTTGGCTAAGGCCAGTGCACCTAACCTGCGTTCGATGAGCCCACCGATGACCACGTCGTCAATGGGCACTCTGGATTTCGGGACCCGCGTCCCCAGTATTCCCGAATCGAAGACAGCCTTTGGCAATAACGTTGCTGCTCCCCTGAGCCCTCCAATCAGCGAGACCGAGGAACGGAGTCCACTCAACATTCAGCCGAACGACCTAGGCAAGGCCACTTCCATGGGTGTATTCAACAAGCCTGGTCAGCAGTATGACGAGACGAAGTACGCGCAGAAGCAAATCCAGCTTCAACAAGGGCGTGAGACCCCGACGGAGAGATACCGTACTGGTTCCTCTGCCTCTCGGACGAATGGGAGTCGGTCGCGATCACGTTCATCCTCTTCTGCTCAACGTGCACCGTTCGAGAAGACGGAACCTGCTTTGCAAACAGAGCCAACTGTGCAAGAGGAGGCTGCGTTTAATGGAACCTTCCTCGATACTGAAGATGATCAACCTCTGCGTCCTCGTCCATCGCAGTCTTCTACATCTTCTCGAGGTACTCGGCAGCGTCCGTCCGATCAGGATCATCCTGCGCTTCGTGAATCTGCGCTTCCCACACCTCTATCACTCGCTTCGATGTCAGGTGGACCCTCACCGATATCCGAACGTCCAAGCCTCTCTGCTTCTCACTCTCACCAAAGCTCTCCTGACGATTCTCCCACCTTGGGCCCAACGACGGGCCTGAGCGGAATAGTGCGCCAGCACCTGCGGTCAGATAGTGATGCATCATCCATCTATGGAGGTCCTGTTTCAAGCTCTCTCAATGCTCCAAAAAGCATGTATGGGCAGTACGATCCCAACGGCATGTCCGACCTGAGCATCTCCTCCAATCCATGGGACTCACAATCTCCCGATTGGCAGTCTTCGTACTTTGACAGCAGCCAATCAAAACTCGACAGCAGGATCAACACGATCGAGGAGCGCCCCAAGCAGGAACGGGGGGAAGACGCTATGCCTGCGCCATCTGATGCTAAGCTACGTTCGGAAACCAGGCACGCTGAAGAGAAAGAAGACGACTTTGCTCGTCATCTAGCAGATGGCGCAAGACGCGTTCGTGAAAGGTTGACATCCTATGTCGAGTCGGACAGTCGCTCTGTATCACCGCAACCTTCTGAACGTGAGCCGATGCCATCGCGGTCGAACCCACTCCACCTTCTCATCTCAAAGTCGAGCCGTGGCTCCCTCGTCGACCGCAGCCGAGAGCGTGAACAAGTTCCGCCACCACCCAAGGTCAACAAGATGCTCGGTATTGGTGCATCCACCATGAGTAGCTCCCCGAGTCCAAGCAAGCGGAGTTTCGACTTTGAAAGCAAGGACCCCCTTTCTCCCATGGAAGAGGAGCCGGAAAAAGCATCGCCTTCGAAGCAGGAGCAGCAGCAGTCTATCGATGAAACAGCGGCATCAACGCCACAGTCAGCGTGTAAGGAAGTTCAAGAAGTGGAAGAAGACAAGGAAGAAGGGATGCACGCAGGGCTCCGTGCGTTCAGGCAGGCGCGGAGAGAACTTCAGAAGCTCAAGGAAACCGAAACACAGCAACGACATCAGTTACCTTCCGGGCCGCCGCCCATGCCACCCTCAGCGCCAGCCCCGCGCCCAGTCACGAATCGTGAGCGACCGCAAGGACATCGATCCCCATCCCGTGAACGCAGGCCGCCTCCTGTTGCTTACCAGCCCCGTCCCAGTCAGGAATCATCATATGGTGGTGGAACGCCTCAATCTTCGCGCCCGTCGTCAAGGACCGAACGGGATCGGAGCGGGTCTGAAAACAGCAACGGTAGCCGGTCTCAAAGCCGCCCAGCCAGGCTCAGAAATACGTCAGCCCCCCATGAAGGCCTGGCTCCTGGCACCAACGGTGGCTCACCCCGTGCCATGCTCCGGTCGCCAGGCCTCCCAGGTACTGACATCCGACACTCCCCCATTATGCCCCCACGCGGACATCCGCCCTCTGCGCCGCCGTCAGGTCCACTTCCTGGGCCTCCTCCTGGGCACTTTGATCGATCTATCTCAGGCAACCTACGTGTCCAGCCCCAGCATCGTGGCGGCTACGACTCGAGCCAGGCATCGCCGGTCTCGCCCATGGCGCCCATGCCGTCACCTCTCATGAACCCAAGCGCCCAAGCTCCCCCAGTTCAACTTCCGCGACGACCATCGGCACCTCCCACGCCCAACCTCGAAGGCGGCGGCTTCCACAAGCTGGATGAATCGACCAAGAGAGCGGTGAGAAAGCGGGACATTTCGGAGCCGACCTTCGTTTCTAGCACGTCACGCGTGCCTACTGTCAACCTCCCAGAGGAGGCCAGATCTCGCAGCGGCTCTCGCAGTGGCACGAGATCTCGGTCCGGCAGTCTGCTCGCGACAGCGTCGACGCCGAATCTTCACGCTCTTGCCAATAATCCAGCACATGCGCCACCTCTGCCCCCTATCAACCCCAAGCGACGCAACATGCTCGGGTTCCGAGGTGGGCGCAAGGCAGAAGATGAGATGGCTGGTGACAGCCCCCAGATGCCGTTTGCGCCTCACCATGCTATTCATCTCCAAAACGATGGCAACAGTGCCTTCTCCATCAGCGATGAGGACGAGGGCGGCGCCCGTGACCGCCGAAGGCTCCGCAAAGCAACGAGCGAAGCCAACGGTATGAACGTACGGGCGCGCCAAACACATTACAACGCGCCACCCATGCCGAATCGCTCTCCCATGCCTGGTGGCATGATCTAATGACACGTTCACCCTGTCTTGTTATTATGTTATATTGCGACTTCCTTTCGATGCGACACACGCACCGGCGGGTCGTGGGTAGCGATCATGACTATATGAGCCCGAAACACTTCTTAAGCCTGCACTTATCGGGCTGTACACCATATTCTTCCCTCAGCGCCTTGTCCGCTTTGAAGGTTGACTTCAATATCCATTTCTTCTCTTACTCATTCGGTCGATGAACCTCTATTATTTTCTCTTTTGTTCCACAACACCAAAAGCACCATAATGGTGGATGACCTGGAGTCTGACCCGCCAAAGGAGGTTTCATTTGGGGATCGGGGTGTTTGTGCGGCTTTGCTATTCGATTATACCAGGAAGTCTTATATATTGCGGCGATTCAGAGAGGGACATGGACGCTCGTGCCTGGTTGGATTGGAGAGGAAAATATACCACAACTAGAACGTATTGAAAGCAATTAACAAGTTGAACAAACCTGACCTCCGTGTGTTGGTGAGATGTTGGCTTTCGGCCCGTAATGCCGAGTGCGTAAGACGGCCCTTCGGTTCTCCCACGCTGTTGCCTTCCCCGCTCCTGGCCGGCTACTTGGCCGGCTACCTGGCCCTGCGTAATATTTTACCTGCCTACTACACATGCGATTGATTCGTAAAAGGCTTCAATTCGTGTCATCCTGAATCATTTCTCCCATCGCTGCCAGACCCACGGCCCTACCATCTCGACCTGGACTGGAACAGCGCTGCCACTCGACAGTGCACTTCGCCCAGATAGACTCCACCCACTTGTACTACCCTGCTCCATTCCGATGGCTTTCATCCGTCTTTATCAGCCAGAGGACTTTGACGCCGCGGCGGACATCGTGCGAATTCTCCTCTCACGTTGTGAATATCATATACTGAATGACAACAGTGTCGTGCCACGCTCCCCCCGTCATTGAGCCCGTTCCCTCACGCCTTGCGCCTGGCCCCCTACATCTGGACCCACCCTTATACGCTGCTGTCGTCCTCGACGTGCTACGTTCTTGACGATGGCAATGGGAGGGCAGTCGGCTACTGCATCGGATGTCCCGACGTGAAGGCCTTCGGGGCGGTGTATGGACGATACGTCAAAGAGGTGCTTGAGCCTTCGACAGAGGTCGAGGCACCGCGGTCTAGGGATTTCAGGGAGCCGTGGGCCATCAATGGGGAGGTGAATGAGCAGGCCCTGCTGCAGCTCGCGCATGATTTTGACATGGCTGTTCTTCAGGGCAAGGAGATCTTGTGGGAAACGCACCGGGCCACAATGCACATTGACCTGCTGGAGGAGTGGCAGGCCAAAGGGTGGGGGAGGAAGCTGGTCGAGGCATTCGTGGAGAGCCTCAGAGAACAGAAAGGCTATGAGCAGGGCATCCACATTGGGATTGCTGGCGACAACGGCAAGGTCGTTGCGTTTTACGAGAAAGTTGGGTTCCGGCTGCAGCCGGGCGGGGAGAAGTGGGGGGGGTTTTGGATGCTGAAGGACCTCGAGTGAGAGAGCCTTGTGCATGGCTGTACCGGAGACGTGCCAGTTAACTTTCAAGACGCCGGTCATTTACTGTGGGCGTGATTCCTTGTTCAAAGATGCGATCCGTCAATTTAAGGATGAAGGTTATCGAGACATGGGCCCGAGGCCCTCTCCCTGCGGAACCGTCATGCCGTGGTTGCCCTTGTAAGGAGATACCTCCGCTGGCTTCCATCCCCATCTATCGAGCAGGCCCTCGTCCTCCAGTTTGAACACCTCGACCTTGAGCGGCCTACAGCACTTGATCATCTCCTTCTCGCTATCGGCGCCGAATCCCCACAGCGATAGATCACCGCCGGGACAGGTGCTCATGGCCATGAGCACGTCAACCTCGGCCAAGAATTCGATTGAGTCGCCCTTCTCCGCCGGGCAGGGGTTCATGAAGTACCGCCCTTGTTCGTCGAGCCCTGTCACCTGGAATAGGTTGATCACATCGTGGACGTCCCGCTCCTGAAGACCGTGGGGTGCCACAGCCCTGACAAGGTTGGAGTGGCAGTGGAAGTCGTAAGAGTCGGTACCGCCGGTAAGGACCGAGTTGATATACGGGTCACATCGGGTGCCGAGGAGGTCATGGACTCGACCGCCGTGGGCATCTCTTCCGTGCCAGGCGAGCGAGTCGGAGATGATGGTCAGCAGTGGACGCATGTATGGCAGCGTGGACCACAGACGATCGTGGGTTGTGAGGTGAGTGGAGTGAAGCTGACGGGTGCGGGAGGCCCAGAAGCGCTCTCGCGGGTTTCCAGCATGCCAAATATTCAGGTCCGCTGACGAGAGTCAGCCCAAGGTCGCGAGGAAGAGCTAGATGTGTACGTCAATGGGGTGGGTGACTTGCCGACTTGAGGTCCTTCGGGGGTACTGATGCGGACAACGGAGCCAGCCTTGGCGGTCCAGGCCTGGCCGGAGCGGATAGGAAGGGTAAATTCCTCTGTGAGAATCCGAGGGGCGGATGCAATGGCGTTGTAGAGGTCCTTGTCGACTGCCAAAGGCGACCCAGCTTTTGGCAGATAGGCCGGCACTGGTGGGGGAGCCGGTTTGAGCGCGGCAAGACGCTCTGCTGCGGAGAGGCTGTGTTGCGACATGGCGGTTGAACAATGAAATGCTAGATTCAAAGGAAAGAATATAGTTGGGAGAATAAAGCTCTCTACGATGATGTGAATAAAGATGACTTCGGTGAAGCACTCCCTTAGCACGTATTTGGGACCCCGCATCGGAACGACGTCGGAGGATGCAACCGACATCTCCACCTGACGGGAAATGCTTCAGATCCCGATTAGCAGCCAGACTATCTTGTCCTTGAACCACTTGAATCTGCGAATCTCAACCTCTATCAGATGCATTTTTAGTTCTATCCATTAATTCATTGCACCATGTGACCTGAAAGAAAGTTCCCTGTTTTGTCTAACAAATGAAACACGAAGCACGAAAGTGATGTCCGAAGCGTTTCACTGATCCATCTCACCGCACTTTAGCAAGAATCTGGCTCTGTCTTCTATATGCTACACGGACTTACGAGCCAGGAGCAACGACAGAAGCACCGCATGAATCAAGAGGATCAGGAGATTCAAACAGGCAAGGTAGTCCGGCGTGAGCCATCGCAAAGTTCTTCGCCTTGGCACCCAGCCGCTTTCCAAGTCATAGCCAGGATGATTAGTCGGCCAACGTCCGAAATCGACCTCATAATCGAGACGGTCATTGTTATTGCTATTCCATGTGGATAACTCAATGTAAGACTGATCACGGTATTCATCATGCCTACTGCGTTGTAGGTTTTGCCTTGCCCGATCGCGTCCTGGACAAATGCTTGAGACTATTTGTTGAAGCTTGCCCACTCGTGCTAATCTTTCATCAAGCTGCTCAGGAGTGCCCCCGCGCGGGGTTGATCGACTGTTAGCACGCCTCAAGCTATCAGGAGCCTGCATGTTTGGGGGCGTGACGAGCGGCACGTCTTCAAAGGCAGCATCCATATCCGATGGGATACAAGTTGTGGGGATTGTCTCATTAAAATACTGACCATTGTGAGAGTTGGCGCTTGGTGAAGTATCTGCAGGACTTTCTGTAGCAAGGTCGTGCGATCTTCTGGGAGTAGTGGTGGCAGACCCAACCACGTGAGCCGTATTGATCAGGTTCTCTCTCAATTCGAAAGCGCTGAAATCGACCCTTTGGTGAAATATTTGAGCAGCTGGAGCATAAGGGCTTGAACTCGCGTCGCTCTTCTCCTGCGTATCATATTCGCTGGACGTCAAGTCTTCTGGACACGGCTCAAAGAGAAGACTTGCAGGCGGATTCCTTCCACCAGAGTCCGACAACTGCGACGTTTCAATATCATTTATGTGCGACTCCGCGAGATTTTCTTCAATGCGACGCCATATCATGCTAGCTGTACTGCTAGTGTTTGAAAGATTGCTCTCCTGGCGTACCTCTCCTCCAGTTTTGTTCAGGGCGATAATCGGCTTCCCTGGTGACGATGTTTCAGGACCATCACTGGCTGAGGATGCATCGGAAAGCTGCATTCTTGACCGGCTCTGTGTGAGAAATAACAGGCCGGCGCTCTCGTCAATAGGCGTGACAGTACGTCGGTTCTGGTCTATTGATGCAGCAATCCCCATGCGACTGCTTTCAGGGTAGTTCATATCTAAATGAGCTGCAGGTCTTCCTGGGTGATTAAGATTACCCGAACTGAACTGCTTAGAAAGCGATGCGAAGGAATCACTGCCAGAGCCGGAGTGCCAGAAACCCGGTGGCGCCTCGTCAGGCATGATTGACCGACGACAGTCTTCTTCCTGAGGTGTGTCATCAAAGAACCCTTTGTTAAAAGGGGGGATCGTAGCGCCTGCTTCGGTTTCTGTACACTTCGAGCAGCCTTCGTTGTGGGAGCCGGGCAGCAAGCCTTCACCGCGATGTCGTAAAGCATGATGGAGATAATCTATCATGCCCCGATCGCCAGACATTTGCATCAAGGCAATGTTCCGTTCGCGTCGTCTCTCTTTTGTCTGCCAAGGCATATCGGGTGGCTTATAAGGCTGATTACGCCGGAAATGACTTGGCGTGAGTTCGACGGCCTCTAGGTTCCCCACGAGCAACGGCGTGGATGCTCGAAGTCCGTGACCTGGATGCCCTAAGGGCGGAATTTCCAAGCGTAGAGCGTAAGATTGACTCCAATCTTCGGCTTGCTTTATATCGGCAGGCGGAGAGGGTGTTCGACAAATCTGACTGAAGTCACGAAATTCGGCTTGTTCGCCTGGACTCAGAGCCCGGGACACAGTCTGTAGCGATTGAGACTTGCCAGACATGACGTTGTTACTAATATTATGGTGGAAATACTTGATGTTTGAGGGTCACCAGGACCGAATCGAATAACACAAGAATGATATGAGTCAAGGGAAGTCTACACTTCTCTACGAAGGCTATCGAGTTTCTATACTTGACCAAAGTCTCGCATACCGACTTAATTCACAGCGAGTGATAGTGAACTAGCGACCTTGTGCCGCTTACGTTGAATGTGTAATAAATTCAGAGGATTTGAAAGTGAATCCAGTGCAACTGAGAAACATAGATTAGAGGTGATGTATGCCCCAGTGTGAAAAACCCGATGATATATATCATGACCAAAGATTTCGGCCATGGACGTTGTTGACCAATTGGGATGAATCTTAGTGCCGGTATCAGATTAGCAGGACAGCAAGGTGGCCATCAGCTATCGTTTGGTAGCTCAGATGTATACTAATTAACAGGCGCAATGAAACGTACAATGGCAATGTTCAGAGTTACTGCATGATCTTTGAAAACAACTGAGTAAGCCCCCAAGGCACCTACCTGGTACAAGAACAAAGACTTGTGCTTTAAGCTCCATGATGAGTTCGCATTATGCGAAGACTCGCTTGGTTCATGGCGAATTCAGTAACATATCGCTGGCTGCTACCAAGGTTCACGTGGCATAAGATGAAAAGAACAAAAATTGTTGTTCTTCAGAAATCAGTACTATGCTGTCAGTGCGTGGTATAGAGCAGCAGAATGCAGAGGTCTTGCACAAGGTCCGAAGGCAATTATAATATAGGTAGGGGGTCGGAATACATCTGGATTCTGGCCCTCCGCAGTCATTATATATATGTTTCTCGTAACCCTTAGCCCCTGACCGACCGCCCTGCTTAGTAGCTCCGTAGGGCCACCTGGCATATCCACTATGAACATGCGCATCAGTCACTGTGGAGATATGAATAGGTGTACGTCTGAAACACCCATGATTGGAATGGAAATGAATAGGTCGTGTTTAACTTTGCCGTTGCGAAGAAGCTCTATGTCATACATTCAGTCAGGGACAGAAACGACGGACAATTTATTGAAGCGCTGCCAGCAGCGCTTATGAATAGAACCTAAACCCAAACACATCACTCCCGAAACCTAAGCTATGCGCAAAATAAGAAACCAAAGCAATAAGAATCTGTCTTCTTGCCATCAAAAATCATACCTTGACCATCTGAAAGAAACCATTTCCGTCTTATCCTCGGGAGTAAATGGCGCGATTAGCCTCAGGGACTGAAAGACCCCGATCCGGAGCTCCTATCCACAGACTTTCCCTTCAGAAGACCAGTCACGCGTCTGATGAACTCCGGCCGCTTCTTGTGTACCTTCCTTTTTCGCTGTTGATCCGCCAGAGCGTGAAGCCGACGCATCTCTTGATCCAACTTGTTGAGGAATGGCTTGTTGTCGGGTGAGATCATCCTGTACCAAGCTTCAAAAAAAGATTCGTAGTTTTGGCATCGGGCTTTTTCAGGCTCGTAGTCCCCAAAGCCAGCCTGTTCCTTCCGTTTGAAGAAGTCGTCCAGGCCCCGATACATCCTCTGCATGATTTTGGTCTCAGAAGCCGGGTTCTTTGCGTCACTGCTTTCGAGTACAATGTTGTGGCAACATTCGGCGTAGTCATGAATGTCGCGGCCGGCGAAAAAGTCCATGGTCGTGTACTGGTCTGTCATGAGGTCGGAGACCGAAAGCTGGCACTCGCAAATGGGTTCATGGGCACTGCAATCGCGCATCGCATCGCGTATGCTTTCCAAGCGGTCAAGCACTTCCGACTGTTCGCGATACAACCGTTGTGTAAGCGCGGGGCCCATAAGCTTCCCGGACGCCACATCTTGACGAAGATTCGCCAGGCCTTGGACTGCCTGGCAGGCTAGAAGGGTGCGCAGTCCAACACGGACCTCCATCTCAGCTAGACACACTGTAGTGCGGGCCACAGTCTTCAACAGCGCATCATTGATCAAGTCTAGTGTCTCAGGCTGTTCGTCGTTGAAGTTGCTGGCCATTGAAGTCTTCGTCACAGCTGTGAAGAGCATGGAATCGCGCTTATCCATGCAGTGAGAAGGTTGTTGCTGGAAGATTGGGCGGTTGGACGTCTTTCCAGAAAGGCCGGAGTAGACAGATTGAAGGGGGCCTGGCCTCCGGGCGGAGAGGGGTGTGCTGACGGGCGATCCAGGGACCGAATCTTGTCGCGAGGTATCGATGGAACCAGAATTCCGCGACTTCCATCGATTCGCGAACGAGCCGCCTGACCGTCGGGTTGAAGCACTCGAGTTGATGCTAGGTCCCGCCGGACTTCCAGGCTCAGGTTCATAGTCAGGTCCCGAAGAGCCTTGAGCTTCAGCTTGCCACGTATTCTGGCTTGTGGGGCTGAGCTCTTCCTCGAAGGCGAACTTGCGCGAGTTGTTAACCATGTTGACTACTGGGTGTCGGCTCTCTCCAAGTTTGATGTAGCTTTTGATCTATTTCTTTTCGGTACGTTGTTGAATGTTTGCGTAGGGTTGGATCTGTCTGTGAGAGGCCTGCCCAAAAGCTGGCCATATTTAAAGAATATATCACGCATGAGAACATAACTCCAGATCAAAAACCTGGCAACTATTCTCAGGCAGATATCCATGTACCCTTTCACGGACATTGGTCCAGGCCAGTAGATCTCGTTTGTTCCCAAACACTGTGAAGTTCGGCTGTGGGCAGCAACTTGTAAGCCACCTGTACATTACATTATGACCCTCAAGACAATGGAGTGTGTCTAATCACAATCGCGGAGCAAAAGACCTGTTCTGCGACCTAAAGGGAACTGCAGGGAAAGTCGCGCAAATGGAAGCCAACCATTCTTGCTGGCGAGTAAAGCGGTGTCAGTCTTTCCGACGAGCCAACCTTGTGGCTCTAATGAGGCCAATTGATCAAAAAAAGTGTTACTGTACGCTACTGACAGGACCGCATCTGGTTATCACTTCCCAAGATCTTCTGTAGCCTTACCGATGCACAGTGATTCGGACAAAGAAAATATGTTCAAAGAGGTGCCGGGCTAGGCCTTTGTCGTCCAGCGATACTTGAAAACTCGAAAATAGTAAAATTGATGATGGTTGTATTGGTGCATACATTTGGTTTACCCCACGAAGGCCGAGATGGAGTGCTGGTATCACCACGTCACTCAGATCGATGTAGCTTCAGCCGTTGCCGCCGCTGGGACAGTTTCTGGTTTCCGACCATATGCCACGTGGCTGGCGTCGTGCGACGTCAGTAAGTTTCCTGAATATTTGCAATATTCGAGACTTACACGGGCCAGTAGGCATGTATTCTGGGATCGCGCATCTCCCTGCGTACATTGACACAGAAAGCTAAGGTTTCCTCCATAGTCCAGTTCAGGCCTCTTGTCAATAGCGCCATGGACAGGCCTTCCAAACCGGCGTCAAGGGCAGCCAATGACCACATGCCCATTTCCTTGAAGCGCTTGTTCTTTGGCCAAGTATTCGTGGGCCACTTGAAGTCGCGGTCGACGCAATCAACAAAGCCTACCTTTCGCATGATGGTGCTGTAATTGTAGACCTGGTCAACGGGACGCCCTAAATTGCCACTGGCCTCAACGAGGAGATTGCACCAGCGAAGGAGTGCCGAGTCTCTGGGTATCGTGTTGTCGTCAGTTCCAACGGGGAACGCTCCGTCCTGAATCTCGAAGTAACCACCAGGTTCAAGTTGACTGCGGTGAGATCTATTCAGTACAGACTCGTACCTCTGATGGGCATCACACCTACTCGTAAACCTTCTGAAGGACGGGCTCCCAGTCGGGAAAACTGCCGGACAGCGAGCGGCAGAAAATGAAATCGAACTTGTGAGCCCAAGTCCACTCCTTTTCTAGATCGTCAATTTCGAATCGAACATTGGGTGGTACGAAGTTAGGTTGGATAGGACTCAGGTCCACCCCAATGACTTCGGCCTCGGGATGCGCATCAGCGTAGTCGACAGCCCAGACGCCTGTGCCAGTGCCCATGTCGAGAACACGTTTTGCGCCATTGTTCTTGGGACACAACGCGAGGCGATAGTCGTAAGTAAGGAAGTTGAGATTATGGACTATATCAAGACGTTCGCTTTCTTGCTAAAAGAGGGTTAACCTTCACCATCAAGTAGGACAAGGTGAGATCCACAGCTCGGGGAGCCGGCCGGGATAATGGCCTCTCGTACCCGCCGACAGCGTGTATTCATGGATCATGGGTCAAGAGCGATACCACTTCTTATCAACAGGGGAACGCGACTTGCCTCGTCATTTGGTAGCACGTATTCTATTGGACATTTCAATCAGCTGATTTATGTCATGGTTGAGAGTATACCTACTTCCTGCGCTCAGTGAATGGTAAGTTCTTCCATTTTCTGTTTGGAACTCGAGGATGCTCGATCGCAAGGAAGCGGTCGACTCCGGGGGCTATTGACAGGCAAAGTAAGCGAATTTGCGAAGATACTGACGGGTCGCACGCGGATCTGAGACGCAGTACGGATCCGAATGCCCATGATCATCCATACACACGTACCACTTCGTATGTCGAGTCGGCATCGCCATCATCGTTAGGTCCATGTCGCACATCGGGCACCTTTCTTCTTGATCAGTATTTTGCCCTTGAGAGCTGTTCCACCTGAGCTGGCCTCACAATTACCACCTCGTGCACTGGCTCCGCTTGTGTTGATGCTGGCGCTGCTATTTCCGCAGCTTGTGAGGTCGGGCTGTCGGCCATCTCTTGGGCTACTTTGGCTGTTTTCGAGGTGACTCGAGTAGACGACGACGGCCGAAATAAAGTCAAGTAGGTTGGTGAGAACAACCCGCGCATGGACTGAGGGGTATGCCGGCTTCGCTAAATGGACTCTTGATCACGCAGCTCAAGAGTGTTATTTTGAGCGAAGGTTGGGGTTCATCTGTGCCCCTGGCCATGCCCAATGGAGTGCTAAACGGATTTTCTACTCAAATCTGAACTAGCTGCAGCAGCTGCAAGCAGTTAACTACGACGCTAGATCCTACTGAGCCCCCCAATTCGACAGTGCACTCGGCGCAGCCCTCAGGGGTCACCATGCCCTTCATTCAACGATTTGCTAGCGTACGATCTTCGTCACTCATTGTCCTGCATGCCCAACTGCACAGCACCCTGAAACATCCAATGAAGCCAGCGCTAAATATTGCCAAGACAGGAGAGGATCCAGCAGCCGCGGCATCTTGATCTGGTCAGAAACCAGCTGGCCTATTATAAGTACAGCGATGCGGGTCTGTTTATTTCTCGTCACTCGCGTCGCCTGATTCGTTGTCTTGTCAACACGGATGACACTTAATATGCAGTTGGGTCGCCCACATGCATGCTGGCTATGTGACCAACAGTTTGGCCTCACACGCTCTGTTGTAACTGCTACACGAAAACGAGTAGCGTGAGAGTGTAAGTATCAGATCATCAATACTGAGGACCATCTGATGTCGCCATTTCCATTGGCGCGCCTTGACGTTCCTCTTCGAGAAAGGTCTTCCGACTAAATCGATCTCGATCGAGTTTTGTTCATGACGACAGTCTCTGGACACAAATTGGTGTGCGGCAAAGAGTGCATCCCATGAAAGCGATTCGCAACATTGCTTCGTGATCAAACTCTCCATGACAACCAAAATTTTCATGCAGAGCAGAGGTTGGCGGAAACCCTCGCGCACGCACAAAATTCAGTAAAATGTCAAAAATATTGGTTGCAAGGTCCAACCAGGAATCGAACCTGGGCTGGCGGAATCAGAATCCGCAGTCATAACCATTACTGGATAGGGGTTAGTGGATCATGCTGTTGAAGACGGCGGGCGACTGAGACGTACGACCATTAGACCACTTTCTGGCTGGGTGGAAGCCAGCGTTCTTCGCTATCCTCATCTTTGCACATTGATAGCTCCACGAGATCACAAATCACTCGAAGTGCTCGCGAATTGCCAAACCAAGATCGAGCAGAGTGTTTCGCCCGCGTGGTAATCCAATGTTGAATGATGAAAGAAAAGATCTATCACGATGATCCCACGTCGCTCCCCGGCATGTTCCCAGTGACGCGAGAAGCCGGTTTCTACATATACTGACCTTGAGGCTAGCCGCTTTGTTCATAGGAGAAGACGTAATATCTTTCATTAGCATACATGAATTCCTTGAAAGGATTCTTTCGAAAGGAACCCTTTCAAAGCATTCGAAGATGTCGAATGGAACTGTACACTGCTCCTAGCAACTGTAAAACGTTAGCATATCCTATTCAGCTGTCCAGTCTAATTCGACAGAGACTGGAATCCCCGAGCTGATGATGGGATCTGAAGTCATGATCTCTAAAGTTCTTGGGTTTCAGATGGCTTTGGTTGACCCCTTTTGCATGCGACTCCCTTAAAATCTGTTGAGGTGTTTTCAGCCTTTGTTATGTCTTGGAATCCGTTGGGGAAAGTGCTTCACAGGATAGTACAAGTCCGGACTGCAAAGCGAGCGTTTGCATTGGTCGGAATCTGCACTCAAGGGAACCATACTCGTCTCACTAGCCAAAGTAAGGTACATTGGGTCTCACGTGCGTGTTTTGCCATTCCCCAATGTTGTCATGGGTACGCAGGCAATCAGCAGTCGCAACACGTGGGCGCAGCTTCCCCAGATCATCGAAGACGGCATTCAAGGAGGCACCTGCGGAGCCAAGAGACAGGGGGCTAGATAGGGGCTGGGAACTCAGGGGCGCTTATACAACAGCTGCGAAGGCCCTAACCCATGCGCCTTCGCACCCTCTTCACTCTGCTCGTGCCCACGCTCTGCCACAATATCGTATGTCCATGGACACTTGCAGCCATTGCTTCACAATCCCGACGATAGTAAATTTCGGATTGGTGGTCAGGCTCCCAACTTGACTGACAGGCATGGAGTTGATGTAGGTCTCAGTATTTACTTCTTCCGCAGGAAATAGCAGTGCAGGTGTTTTCTTTCCCCTGTACGTACCTGCATATCTCGGTATCAGAAATTCGTGTGGAAAAATTGAGCTGTGTTGTACGTCAATGTAAAGAATAGACTTCCTCGTGCGTCCCTGTTTGCATGTAATACTGTGCTTTTCTTAAACGTTCATTCTCCGCAATAAGTCTCCGATTGCCCTTACCACCATCAACTCGATAGTCTGGCGCTTAAAGTTTTCTGAGTCGTCAGTATTTATCCAAGTGCCCACGCGCTGTCTTTGCCGTTCATCTACCTTGGTAGATACGCACTATTCAGCCCAAAGAGAGCTGGGCATTCCGTGGTCCGCTTCCATACGCGAAGTCGCAAGCGCCCACGACACTGATTTGTACGAAGCCATTGACAAATGCCGTCCGACCTGATCGACACTTCCCTATTTTGATCTTCATCTTCGACATCCATAGAGCCGTGCCTCGTCTACCTCACAGGATGGTGTAGGTTAGAAGCGATAACGAGCTGAGCCGGTTCATGTCAATTCCGACAATATCAAGCGGATGATTAGACACTGCCCTGCCCGTGCATTTCTCCGGGCGCCCTTTGGCCTTCTCTCAAGAGGGAAATCCTCTCACTTTCCAAGGAAGAGTCGGCACCAACATGGCAAGCGCCGGAGTCCCGTCAAGCCGAAGGTCTCTTTCTTTGACCCAGTTGGAGGGACATTCCCCACATGACTCCGTTATGGACTCAATGTCTCACCTGGCCGCTTGTCCACTACGCCACGGGCATATGAGCTGGGTGTCAATGACGCTTCCCCAGATTGCGATCATGGTAGGCCGCCGTCCGGCACATTCCCAATCCGTGCCTAGGGAGAGGATGCAGCCAATGGTAGACGAGGTGAATCAAATACCGCTGTTGTGCCGTCCAGTGCCGCCTCCACGGATCACTCGTATCCGGCGCTAGTACCTGGACCCCTGGCCCGGTCTGGCAAGCAACAGTAGACTGAACATCAAACCCTGGCTAATGCAGGTTGGAATTAGGCATTTGGTCGTACAAGTCCGCTTCGAGACTCGGGTGTCTCCAAAATCTTGCTCTGTCTTGGGCGAGCTAACGTGATCGCAAATCAGTCTGAGAGCCTGACCGGCGTTGAGCTGGACTCATAAACAACACGTTGCTCGCCTTCCTTCTGAGAGACCGCTCCTTCACTACGCCCTACATCTCCTCCTCTGCTTACCTCAGTGTCCATTTCTCAAGCCGTTCAAAATGCACAGCAAGACAATCGCGCTCGCCATGGCCGCTGCTAGCAGCGTTGCTGCTCAGCGACCCACAGACACCCCCATCTGTGATTACTACACAACAGCTCTGCTCAAGGAAAACACGGCAGAGAACCAGTATACTCTACTGACGCTTCTCGTTAACACAGTGGTCATTGGAAACTGTGAGCCTTCTTTGTGCCTTCACCTACAGATATCTGATAGCTGATATGTATAGACACCGAGCCAAACACTGGCGTCGCGGTCCCTGGAATCTTGGCCAAGGGAGACTTTATGGGTACCTCTGTGAACCTCTTGCCTTACTTCAATGGCGATCTCGCCTCTACAAACCGTGGTGGTGATAAGGGCGAGTCTGTTAACTTCCTCGACGGCGGTGGTGCCGCTCCCCTGATGGAGAACAAGCCTGCCAACTCGGAGAAGTCGAGGCAACAGTAAGTCAAGTCCTCGCCCAACTTCTACACACCCGCCATTTCTGACAAGTGGGTGTTTCAGCTTCCTCCTCACGCATCTCTATCAGTTCTTTGGTTCACTTCTCGGCTGCTCCAAGTACTCAATGCCCGGCTTCCCCGCCTATGGAGGTGATGCCTCTATGTACGAGGTGCACAAGTTCATGGATCTCGACCCTTCTGAGATGGGCTACTTCATTCAGCAAGTTGCCTTAGCCGCTGAATCCTTCGGTGTCGCCAAGGATGACATCACTGCTGTTGGCAAGGCCCTGACCGACCTTTTCAACTTCAAGTGCTTGCCCGCTGCCGAGGTCATCCCAGGCCAAGGCAAGCAGCTACAGTCGATCTGCATCGCTGAGGATTGTCCTGAAGCCAAGGATGCCCAGTGCGACCTGTACAAGGGTGCTGTAGCCCCCGAGCCCGCTCACGGTGGCAGCAACGCTACTATGACCTCGTCTACTCCCACCAGCGGCGCAACGGGCCAGCCTACGACTGTTCCCACTGATATTCCCGGTGGCGCCGCGTCCAACTCCATCAGTCTGATCGCTCTCGCCGGAGCCTTCGTTGCATTCATGATTTGAATCTAAGATGGAAAACATTTGGCTAGGAACACATCGAGTACTGGATACTGTGTATACATCTAATAATCAACCATTATCTATTGAAAATCGAGCCTCTGGTTCTCGTAGCTCTTTGGTAATGAATAAGTAGACATAGTGTTCATCTTGAAAACTTTCAGACTGTGTGTCAAAACCACGTAATGTACACTATTCCAATGTGCTGAGGGTTAGCTACGTGAGACGGAAGCGTGACCGGACCTGTTCAAGGGAATCAATATGTTCCACAACACCTCAACAGCACTTAGATGGCAGCGAGAATGAACTTCGCGGTATTGGAAGCCGTAATGCATTGCAAACTACATCTACATAAACAGCTTGTGTTAGGCCAGAGCGGTCTTTGCACCTTCCGGGTCGTGTGCTTCGACTTCAATCTCAACTTTGAGATTCGGGCTTGAAAGTCCAGCGACTACTAGTCCGGTGAGAATGGGGGAATGATTAGGCATCCACTTCCGTGTCAGGTCGACGTAGGCAGCAATCGACTCGGGACTGAACTCGAGAACATAAAGTCGCACCTTGAACACCTGAGACCACCCTTGACCACCCGCGTCACGTAAGTTGACATCGACGTTCTTGAACGCATTCTCCAGTTGGGAACTAAATTCGTCCGGCACTTCGCCCGTGATATGATCCCAACCGCCTAGAGCAATGAGTCGTGTGTTTATGATAGTGTTGACAGCAGCGTACTTACACTGTCCGGAGCATTCGATGCGATCATTGATACGCACGGCTTGTTTGTAGTTTATTTGTTCGCGGAGACGAACTCCATGGCCGGCATATGAATAGTACTTCAGTTGTGACATGGCTGAGATAACCAGAACGGCGGAGACTCGGTGATGGTAAACCTCAGTGAAGCCGAGGATTGAAAAATGTGTGGAAAGTGTCGCACTGCGAGGTAAATATCACGTCGATGAGGACGAAGAATTACATTCTTGGAACGTGCGGAATCGGTGCTTTTGTAGCTTTGCCAAGCTTCACATCGTCATCTACTACATCTTCAGACACGATGGTCGCCGACGATGATGCCGGACATGGTGGGGTCCCGGTGCGGGCGGCTGGTGTCGGTCGGGTTGAATGGCATCCGGCGCCTAACTCGAAGAGGAAAATGCAGGCCTTGTAGGATCGGAGTAATGAATGACCAACATCACGCGCATTTGCCGCATTGGGCCACATTGGCTGCTTACGAAGACCCCTCGACAAGAATGCCGAAGCCCGTCAGCATTGGCGGCGCGGAATCAGTGGTTAGTGATCACAGATTGCAGCAAGGTTGTCTGCAAGTGTCGGATCATCTTCGCAGGGAGATCGCTTCCTGGCTCCCACCACGAAGCAACCGGGATAAGGTGCCACAATCATGCCCAGTTTGCGCATGCTGGCTTCGCGTTCTTTTCCCCGGCTCTTTTCGTGTCCATGGACGTACCTCACGGACTCAAGCTTGCGTAGGCAAAGCACCTGGTATGTGATTCTGTCACATTTCCATGATTAATATCAGAGCCTTTGCTTTGCTTTGCTTCGGGATATATTCTGTGGCAGCAAGCTGTTTCCTTCAGAGCTGCTCATGTCATTTTCAAAGCGTGATGTTTACAATATGTATGGCCATCCGCTTCACTGCATCGAGTCCGCCGAACCCTGGGCAGTTAGTCAATTTGGTTCGGCCCCTTGGCAAACCTGCTCTGCCACTGTCAGGAGCCCCCCGCGGAGCCACAACACAAGGGGCTAGCCAGGGGCTAAAGACTACGAGAATGTGTATATAATAGCTGCCGACGGCCGCACTAGTTGCGGTTGGCCAGAATTACGATGTACATGTATTCCGACCCCCTACCTATGTTTTATTGACCTGGGACCACGTGGAAGACCTCTTCACTTTGCTCTCAATCAATCACTAACAGCCACAGAGCAAGCTATGAGCTAGCGCAATATTCGGGTCAGAAAAAGTCAGCGCTTGATATAAAGCAGAGTCAAGAGGTCCTCCACACGTGTTCCACAGGCAGTAGGATGTAGGGAGGGGTTCATAATACATCTGAGTTCTGGCCCTCCTTAGCTTGGAGGGCCCCCCTCAGTCCATATACACATTCTCGTAGTTCTTTAGCCCCTTATAAGCCCCCGTGTTCAGTGGCTTCGCAGGGCTACCTGGCAGAAAGTCTACGGATAGGCTTCAGAAATGGTTTCTTACAGGCCATTATGAGAATGACGAACACTGCAGACTGTCTAGATCAAGAATCAACAAGAAGCAGCGGGTCTTCGAAAGACGGTTAAAGTTCGGATCTTGATTGTGTTTTGACAGCATACTCAGCTGTCTTTGGACGACCGCGCTCTGATAGATGGCAATGGCGTGACGCTGTCTAGAATAACTTAAGAGAACACCTTCTGGCCTGACTACTTACAATCTTTCTCTTGACCGCTGTCGGAGGATTCATGGCATCCACAGCCCGGAACCTGCCGCCTTATATGAATGAGCTGCTGGACTATTGTGCTGCAAATGTTGTCGCCGCGTCAGGCCTCCAATTCTTCCCAAGAATGTCGATTGATCCCACAAAAAGTATTCTTTACGGCCATGTGAGGCACATTCCCAGGTGCGTCGGAGAGCTCGGATGTACGAACAAAGAAGGCAGTGATGAATGTGGAACTGGATCACGCCGACATGAGTCCGTATATGGCGAGTCAACATGCTGGACAGCAGAAACCACCGAATGAAGCGAGGCCAGAATTTATGTGCCCCATCGCGCATCGCAACCGCGACTTGCAAGGCCTATGCCCTCGTACCGAAACAGACATGGTAGCGTACCCACTTCACAATCAAGGATCCGATGAACAGGCCGGCAAACTCGGGTTTTTAAGAGCTGAAGTTGCTAGCCCAACGGTGTGGTGGATCCCCAGGATGTGGGATCAAGCATGTCCGTCTTAATTTGCTAAGGGTATCTTCGACTGGCGCAGTGTACACTGCAAAGAATTATAAATGACTTTCTACATGCTGTCGGGGCAAGGCGGAAATGCTCATAGGACTGTTGGAGGTCTTCTTTCGGTCATTGCAGCTTCGCAAGGCTCTCAGCTGAAACTTAGAAGCCCCGATCCTATCTGAAATGGCATGACAAACGAATTGGAGATGGTCGCGCACGCATCAGATCATGGACCTCGGGGCCGAAGCCAGATTCCCGCGCACTAAACACTGGAAGACTACCTACGTTTCCGGCGCCAGCGAGTCAAGCCAGTCCATGATGGGGCCTGTTTGCCCCACATGCCAGCATCGGTGACTGCGGCTGCCACTGGGTCGCAGGTCAGGTGCTGTTCTTCATTCTGTAAGTGGCTTGAAGCAAGGAGGCGACATTCGGATGTCACTTACCACGAAAGCAGAGGTGAGGTTCCGTGTGATGGCTTGCTGTCCAATTCCTGGCTCATCGTGTGACACCGTGATCCCCATTTCCCGCGTGTCGCCCGACAACAACACGCTGTCAGCTGTAGAGCTCTGAGCCCAGTACTTTGCTTCGCCAGTTAGTAAGTTGACAGCGGAACATGTGTTTCCATCCAGCAGAAAAGCTAAACTACCCGAACCACAGAGCGTTCATCGTGTCTCTTGTGTCTCTAGTCCACCGAGGGGCTATAACGCAGATATTTTGTCAATCTATCCATGCTGTGGGGTATGTATGCAAATGGGCGATAGCCAGGTTTTTCAGAGTCCGGGCGAGGGGACAAGGTGCGCCACGCACCAAAGCTGAACATTAGCTATGTACGTTGGAGTGTGTGTTACTGCATTCCGGTCTACACCGGGCCCTCGGAGGTAGCGCAAAGTGTGGACGAACGTGCACCAGAGCTGTTGCTGTTGAGGCACGATTAATCTCTCTGCACGCCTACACTCTATGCACGTAGAGTCCATATCTCTCCCCCATTGGTATAGGTTCTTGGATTCGCCTCGCCTCAACACATGAGGCGCACCAGCCAGGAAGAACCGAACGAGGCAAAAATTGGCACCAGGATCCAAGCTGATACGTATTAGAGGGCTGACGCACAGGAAGAGATGGCTGACATCTCAACTTGGCTTCGCTCCAGGCGAATAGCTGCATCCATGTCACCACGTCACCTGCCGGCACTGCGAAAGCAACATGGCTTGTAAGGCGTCGACTATGCAGATACTCGTTCCAATCGCCAGCGCTCTAGCCCCGCAAGATCGCCACGACTACCCCACATGAACCTCCGCGAGGCACACCAAGCCTCAACGGCACCAATGAGTCGACGATGTGCACCATGTCTGGTGTTTTACCGATAGTTAGCGTGCATGACAAGCTTTCAAGCCGTTAGCGTGCTTAACAAGCTTTCAAGCCGCCCGCTAAGTATTGTTGGTGGTGGCATTCACTTGGCCAGTGGCATTCACCTGGCAGTAGGACTCACTCGATCAGCGGTAGGTATTCACCTGGTGCCACATGGATCGTGCACCCAGTGCCTTCCAAAGCGTAGTGCCAGACATCCTGCCTGCCCTACAGCAGATACACACCTTGCTTCTGCACTTGACCTCCTCCAACAGTTATGCAACCAGTCCACGTCAAAACGGCTGGTGATTAGCTCCACCCCCGCACAAAACGACACCCACAGTTCCGAGCTAGTCGGCAGAACGGCATCCCTCAGATCATCATCTGAGCGAGTGATTCAGCGGACACCGACAATTCGCTGCGGCTGTCAGCTCACTCCAATGGGGTCACTGCTTCAAACCGCCTGGATTCTCGCGGTCTCCGGTGAGAGAGTTCGGCCCTAACCACTACCTGAACGTAACATGGTTACACGCTGACGTTGGCGACCCGCGCAAGTCTCAAAAGGCCCGAATATGATTGAAGCCCACGGTGTGATCGCGTGGGAAAGAAAACCCTCCAGGGCACCGAGAATGCGGTTCCCTGAGACCCAGTAAGTCTGTTGCCAACCCGGGCAATAAACCCCCCCACATGTTGTTTGGTCTTCTCCACGAGGCTTACGCCGTCGTTACGAAGGGACCCCAGCCAGACCACCCCGGCATGCAGCTTCTCCATCGTCCCCCTCCATCTATTCCCCGGCTTCGCGGGTGGCGCCAGGCGAAGGCGCATGGCTGGTTGGCTAGTTACCTGGATTGGACTGTTAGCTGACCACGAAGAGATCGAACATGTCATAGAGCTACTGCCTCGAGTCAACCTCTGTTACCCGAGCTCAAGCTCCTAATGAAAGGAGCTCTTGTGGTTATAAAGGTTACAGCACCGCCGTTAGCTGATAAGACCTTGACCAGGCAACCCTGAAATCGACTTCTACACAAACCGAAGTGCTCTTTCCAATCCAGATCCCACAGCACTGGCTGACACTGTCTCACCATGACGTCTGCAATCCGCCGATTGTCGGTGGTACACGACAAAGCCGAAGGCAAAGCTTGGCCAGCCATTGTCATTGGCTTGTTTGTTGCCTTCGGCGGTATTCTGTTTGGGTCCGTACCGACTCCTCGCGCGTGTGGATCTAAGCTGCCTATCTGGGGTATCGACTGACACTTGATTCAGATATGACACAGGTACCATCGCCGGCATTATGGCCATGCCATACTGGAAGACCACTTTCTCGACAGGCTACCGCAATACCCAAGGTGAGCTTGATGTCTCATCGTCTCAGGCCTCAGCTGTCGTATCTATCCTTTCGGCTGGTACCTTTTTCGGTGCTTTGTCTTCGCCTCTCTTCGCCGACTACATCGGACGTCGCCTCGCGCTTGTCGCCTCATCCGTCATTTTCATCTTGGGTGTGATTCTTCAGACGATAGCTACCAATTTGCCTCCGTTTCTGGCTGGAAGATTCTTCGCCGGCTTCGGAGTCGGCGTGTTGTCCGCTGTGGTGCCGCTGTACCAGTCTGAGACTGCTCCGAAATGGATCAGAGGTGCCATCGTCGGCGCCTACCAGCTCGCCATCACAATTGGCTTGCTGCTAGCCGCCATTGTGGACTACTCTACCAAAGATCGAAACGACACGGGTTCTTATCGCATTCCCATCGCTATTCAGTTTGCTTGGGCCCTGATCCTCATCGGCGGCATGCTTGTCTTGCCCGAGACGCCTCGCTACCTCATCAAGAAGGGCCAGTTGGATAAGGCTGCGAATGCGCTGAGCAGACTGCGCAGGCTTCCTTCCGATGCGCCTTCGATCCAGACTGAGCTACATGAAATTGTTGCCAACCACGAATTCGAGATGTCTCTTGGCAAGAGTAGCTATCTCGACTGCTTCCGAGGTCACATGATCAAGCGCCAATTAACTGGTATGGGACTACAAGCCCTGCAACAGCTGACTGGAATCAACTTCATCTTCTACTATGGCACTCAGTACGTACAGCTCAGGCAGTGGATATAGCGCAAATGGCTCTAACACAAAGCTTGCAGGTACTTCAAGAACTCCGGCATCAACAACGCATTCACGATCCAGATGATTACGTCGAGTATCAACGTTGTGTCTACCCTTCCTGGTCTATACGCCGTTGACAAATTTGGTCGTCGACCGCTGCTTCTGTGGGGCGCTGTGGGCATGTGCATAAGCCAGCTGCTTGTAGCAGTCCTGGGCACATCCACCACTAGTCAGGACTCATCTGGGAACATCATTGTCCACAATGTCGATGCGCAGAAGGCTGGCATTGCTTTCGTCTGTATTTACATCTTCTTCTTCGCTTCAACTTGGGGACCTCTCGCCTGGGTCGTAACGGGCGAAATCTTCCCCTTGAAGTTCCGCGCCAGGAGTTTGAGTATCACTACGGCCACCAACGTAAGTTTTGCGATTCCTAGCAATGACTACTGATCTCATCTGCTAACTCATATAAATAGTGGCTTCTCAACTGGGCCATTGCCTATTCGACTCCCTACTTGGTGAATTATGGCCCGGGAAATGCCAACCTGCAGTCTAAGATCTTCTTCATCTGGTTCGGCTGCTGCTTCATCTGCATTGCCTTTGTCTATTTTTTCATCTACGAGACCAAGGGGCTGTCCCTAGAGGAGGTAGACGAGCTTTACACGGAGGTTTCTTCGGCTCGCATGAGTGCTGCATGGAGGCCCAAGACCACATTCATTCAGCGCCAGAGCATTGCGCAACAGGGTGGGGTCCAGAATGGCGATGAAAAGGGAGACGCGGCACACCATGACGACAAGCGCTCTGTTGAGAGAGACAGCGTCTGAATGAGGCGACACAGCGATGGCCAAGAGCCCACACAGTCGCGCTCATTTCAAGGCCAGTCCCTTCCACGTTGGGCACGATTGATTGAGCTTTACCTGTAATATTTTTAGTCCGTATACGAATTAAGTCGCTTTCTTCAGTACTTACTACTCAGATGTTTATAATGAGCATCACGTTAAGCAACATTCGTGTAGCCATCGAACTTTCCGCGCGGTTGGTTAACTACTTTGAAATACATCCATCTTGCACGCCTTCGCTATTCGGCGTGGACGGTTGAGTCGCACACTGTGCCATCTTGCGATTTCATTGAGGGAAAGATTACAATTGCATGATGGGATAATCTGGTAAGGTCCAGCCCTTGACGTCGTCGGATGCAAAATATTGGGCAAGCTTATCCACTTGTAGCCATGACAGCACCCACCACGCCGAGTTCGAAACCCAGACCCAGAACCACGAGGTTGGGAATGCAATCCAGGGGACGCCAGGGAAGAGCTGCTGTACCCTGTCGACGAACGGCCGTAGCGTTTTGTCGTAAGCTAGCAAAGCGCCGTCGGTATCACTGATTCCCTCCTTATCTGCGCCTCCACAGTGTGTGGCAATCTCGCCTGCGAGGACGTAGGCTCCGACAATGGCTGACGTAGTACCCAGTCCAGTGACGGGGCTGGCGCAGTGCGCAGCGTCTCCCAGAAGGACGACACGCCCCTTCGACCAAATCTTCGTTTTGACCTGTGCAGTCTCCTGGCAGTAGAAGTTGCTCGTTTCGTTCATGCCCTTGACGATACGTGATGCTTGCCACCCCTCATTCTTGAACAATTCCGTGTAAAGTCGCTTTTGGGCATCGGGATCCCGGGTGGCCATTGAATCACGCAACGTTTTCCGAAGGGCATCATCACGCGGATAAATGCCCAAGTACGCCTGCACAGTCTCTGGGTTGTCGGCGCGCAGGCACATGCTCTTGTTGGGGGAGGTGAAAACGGTGCAGTAGTTGGTATCAACTGGTTCCCGCGGGATAGTAAAGTAGCAGAAGAAGCCATTCAGGTGAGTATACCGCTCTTCCTCCGGCTGCATAATCATCCGACGCGTGCGAGAGTTCTGTCCGTCGGCTCCGATGACAAGGTCGTAGGTCTCAGTGGTGCCGTCTTCAAAGGCAACGTTCACAGCATTGCCTTTCTGCTCGAGTCCCTTGACAGTGGTACCGAAACGGAATTTTGCCCCACGTGCTGTTGCGGCGTCGGCCAGAATGCGCACCAGACTACCGCGCATTATCTCAAACTCAGAGGTGAATGTCTGGGCGCCCTGTCCGGTCTTGTTGGCGCGAAACATTGCCTGGCGACGGTTGTCGGTGTCGACGAATTGAATGCCCTCCTCATCCACAACATGGGCGCGAACTTCGTCGACGAGCCCCATGCGACGGATAACGCTGACGGCTTGGCCGCGAAGGTCGATCTGCTGGCCTTGTGCGCGAAGCGACTCTGTTCGTTCGAGAATGGTAACATCGTGGCCGAGGGGAGCCAGCCAAAAAGCAAGAGTGGGGCCGGCGATGCCACCACCGATCACCAAGATTTTTAGTGCTGGCATGGCCGTTCGAATGAATGGCGGCAATTAATGTTGTCTCTACGCCAGGTCATTTTTCGCAATCCTCGAAAAGCGCAGATCATCTCTCTATTATATTTCTTTTCCCTTCCCAGCCCGTCTCTGGTCTGTTCACGAAGGATCAGTACGATGGTACGAATGGGATGAGGCACGTCCAAATCATGACGTCAAGACTCGGTACCGAAGAGCGAGGAATTAGTCCGGAGTGGAAACGCACCATTATTTGGAGTGGTAGCAATGTGCAAAACTACGTGTCTTACTCGCGTCGATACGACGTTATTTACGAGCTGTGCGTCCATATCCACTACCTGACATGGTCCCATGTCCTGGTGCAACAATTGCGGTTGTTTTACGATACATCCTCTGCAGGGGTTGATTCATTGCTCACAGACTGACAGCGATACGATAGAATACCAACTCATGTGTGCTGGTTTCTCGAAAGGCAATTCTAGGTTGCACGGTTTCCATCCAAAGAGTGGAGCAGCGTTGCTCGGTGTTATGTTGCCCATTGGCACTACCAATCCTCACCACGCGAGCTCGTACGCGGCAGCAACCGCGAGCTTCGTGAACTCATACACGTGCCCAAAGTCCACCTTCTCGATTGTGTCTTCTGGTGTATGGATGTATTCATTCGCGTTTTCGAAGATCGATTCAAAGATGAATGCAGATGGGAAGCCATTGAGGGTTGCTGAGGCATGGTCTGAACACTCATAACCGCATGTAGTGTCAGTCCATCCAAGGGAACAATACTTCGATTAATCAGCTTGGAATCCTATCCGTGAATTCCGCCTGACTTACTTTCTCAATAATCTCCCGCAGCCTTTGCGTGAGCTTGGGGTCAACATTGTCGGTTATGACACCCATCGTCGGCTTTGTGTTAGGCTTGACATAGCCCGTCATGTCGAAATTGAGCATAGCTACAACGTTGACATGATCGTGTGCGTACTCATTGAAGATTGCGTTACTGCCCAGGAGTCCGGCCTCCTCGCCTGCGTACCAGTGGAATTCAAGTGTGTGTTCGCTGTCTTGGACGGCTAAGTCGCTGTCGAGGATCGCGCGGAGGGCTTCCAATATTGTAATACTGCCGGTGCCGTTGTCATCTATTGAATGGTGAGGAACAGCATGTGTCATGCTTCAGCTGCTCATCAACGTACCTGCGCCGGGAGCATGACCTTTTATCGGATCTAGCCCGTTGATAGAGTCTTGGTGAGCGCCGAGCACAACTATATCGTTACCTTTGCCCTTGAGAGAGACGATGATGCTCTTTTGACCCTCCCAGTTATGGTCCACAACCCTGAAAGATGCTCTCTTGACGCCTCGAGACCTTGCGCCACTTAGGTAGGCTTGAATGCGGCCCAGGAGCCACCTTGATGACTGAATGCCGGTCCGTGATTGATAGTATCGCGTATAGAATTCAGTTAAACCTAGGAGATTCTCTCGCAAGGCAGTTGCGTTGAGCGTTACGAATTGGTCGAGTGCATTGTCCTGAGGTGGCATTGGAGACTTTGGACCGTTGCCTGTAGACCCGCCATTGGCTCGAGCAGCCCGGATCGACGAGTGTGTTAGGTCGGCATAGTCGTAGCCAGCCTAGAAGATGTCAGAAGCTGTCTTTTGTGCGGAATAAAGAAGATTACAGTTTCAAGACGATTTTTCCCGGCTTCCGTAACGGTACGGATGCTCCCAGGGCCAAGCTCGAGCGTAAAGATCGGCTCGGAGGGCATCGGAAGAAGGCCCTCAGTGATGCCGACGAGAACGGCAGCGACGACAGCGACGCGCATGATGCAGTTTGAGAAGCAGTCCTGGAACACTAGCCTGCTCAGTATTGGTAATAAGTAGCCTTAACAATGGGTAATGAGTGCTGGGTCTTTGGCGTCTCCAAGTGAGAAGAGACAGAATAATTGCGTAGTGAATAAAACGCAGATTGGCAGCTGCTCGTTGACTGCCATGAGAAGGTGATCACATGCTAGCCGTTGACCAAGAAATCAGATGTTACTCGATGCGTTGGCAGCCACGATCGAGCTGACTGCACTGCCTTACGGGCAGTTGCATACGTGTCCCGAAGTTCAGTCGCTTCCCTCCAGACGACAGTGTGGATGGATGCTGGGCAACAATAGTGGAAAGCCTGAGTAACACAGGTGTAGTAGCAATGCGTGGCATAAATTACCACCACAACCCAGCACAAACAATGCTTCTGGAGGCCGAATGGTGGCGTACATAGGCACAGTGGCCACATCAGGCGCTCACAGCCATTCGACATCACTTCAACGAGCGAAGCAAATGCACGGGGAAGTTTTGATACGATTGAGACCCATGCGAGTATTATCCAGTGCAATGATTCACTCATTCTAAGACTTCTTGATTTGCTCCTGGAACTTTTCGACCCAGTCTGAGAACTCGTCCCGGTCCGCAGCCCACGGCTTGAACATATGATCGGAAATCTTGCGCACGCCCACAAAGCATTGGTCCATCGCGCTGTCGATCTCATCTGGTTCCAACTCGTAGAATGCACCTGCCAGTTCGTCAAACTGGTTGGGTAGCTTCCTCAGCAAGTCCATCACGTTATCCAGTCTCTGGGGAATATTCAGGGACGGTTCAGTCGGGAATGAAGGAAGGATTTTCAGTCTCCTCTTGACAATTGCTTGGTAGAGCAGCGTAGTCAGACGAAGTCGTTTGAGGCACGAGTCCAGTCGCTCTCGAATCTTGTCCGGGTCGTCGCGAGGTATTGTTTGCTGTGCGCCCATGATGTCGTCGACCATCTCTTGCGCTGAGGGCATCATGGAGCCAAGTCCAGAGTCGTTATCTTCAGCGTCGCCAGCTTCATAGTTCTCGTCCTCGTCCTCATCCTCGGGCACTTCGTCGCCCCATTCTTTGAGCTCCTCCATGACATCCTTGAGCGTCGCGCGGAACTCCTCCACCTTATTGATAAAACAGCCGCCCACGCCGGCGTTACAGAAGCGCGTGACTTCATCGCATGCTGCCCAAAGGGTTCCCGTGGCTATGATGCTGCCCTTGCCAGTCTTGCTCGCAGCCCCAGTCTTCTTGTCTCCCGTGAGAATTTTGCCATCTCTCGGAATTTTCTGGAGCAGTTCCCTCAACTCCTTGAGCACCGTGTAGGACTTCCAAGCCAGGTCTTTCCTGACGGTGGAAGTGTACCGCTCGGCTGTACAGGTCTGTGCAGCAGAGGCAATTCCCTGGATGGCGCTGCCGACAAGCTCGCGAAGGACCTTATTTATAGCTGACGGCGTGAAAGGCTCATTGATGATCAACACGGAGATCTTGGTCGAATGGGCACGGATGAGAGTGGCGGAATCGCGAGCCAGTGCCAGTGCGTCAATCTGCGATGCTGCTTGGTCGACGGTCGGCTCTAGTGTGTCTTTGCCGCTGTTGATTTGGAGAAGAACAGGCTCCA